GTAATACCTTAATGAATAAAGAAATTAATTTTTAAAAATTCCATAAACACACACACACACACAAAACAAACAAACAAACAAACAACCTTCAATGGCTTTCTGAATCTCTTACAACGAAGTCTTGTGTGGTCTGGCCCTTTACTACCTAGCCTGGCACGCCATGGTTCCCCTAAGTCTTCCTCTTGGCCTCTTTTTGGTTAAGTGCACCAGGTTCTTTCTCCTACCAGGCCAGGGCAGTTTGTAATGTCTTTTGTAAAAAAAAAAAAACTCTTACGGCTAGCCTATTCTATCTTCAGGCCTTATCTTGTCTGATTACCCTATAAAGGTGCCCTCTCTTACCATCTAACATACACTCTTTTATTTCCTTCTTAAGACTCAAGTAATCTTTTGTCTACCTGGTACACAGGAAAGACTCTAAGCGCACTTGGTATTTCTGAACCCAAAACTGATTCCGTAAACAAGTAAAGCCAAGTGCTATTAAATAGAGAAATAAGCCCTAACTGGTTGGCTCAGTGGATAGAGCATCGCCCTGTGGACTGAAGGGTCACAGGTTCGATTCCAGTCAAGGGCACGTACCTTGGTTGCAGGCATATCCCCAATAGGGGGTGTGAAGGAGGCAGCTGACCAATGTTTCTCTCTCATCAATGTTTTTAACTCTCTATTTCTCTCCCTTCTCTCTGTAAAAAAAAAAAAAAAAAATCAATTAAAAATATATATATTTTTAAATAAAATAAAATAGAGAAATAAGATTTATTAACCAGTATAAACATCCTTATACCTACTTTTAAATCTGGTCTCATCCATGCTTCAATACTATTATGATTGCTACACCTCCCTCCTCCCTAATTCTAGCTGTTTTATTTAATGACTTGTTAACAGAAGCATTTAAAGTTTAAAGGAAAATAAATAATTACTAATTTTTTTTTTCTGATAGCAAAGGAAATCTTTCTTTTTGTAGCAGTGAAAATAGGCCCATTCTTGTGTTAACAAAGGGGGAAAAATCTTTAGGCACCAGCTGTCAATGTGGAAAAGGATAAGGGGTGGACTGAGGTGAACAGGGATATCAATCTACTTTCATCCTAAAACAGACAAAATGCCCCTCATCCTACCTGTCTGTAACTCATGGTAGTAAGAATTAGAATGTTTTATGAAAGTGATCTCTATATAAAAACACAAGGAATTAAACACTTATTCACCAATAATTTAAAACTCCTTTACTTTTTAAAAAACTTAGATAGTGGAGATATAGGCATAAGCAAAACAGACTCTGATATCATGAAGCTTTTATTCACAAAGGAAAACAAGTTAGGGGGTACTAGTGGCAGGGAGAAAATTAATACTGGGGTTAAGGCAAAAAGGGAAAGCCTCTCTGGTAAGATGAAATTTGAAGAAAGTGAATGGTAAAGAATATCAGGGGGAAGAGGCCCAAACATAGGAACATCTCAGTCTTATTCTAAGTGTTATGTTCTACTATGGTTAAATAATGCCATGTAATTAAGACCACTGGTATGTATGAACTGCTGCTGTAATTCACCCAGCACACTCCGATTTACTCCCAGAGAAAGGATTACCTATTTTATGGATAATAAAGATTTATACTAGAGCTAAGAACCCAAGCAATGGTATTAAAAGATATCTAGCAAAATACTTTGGCACTATAGTTATAAATAAAAGACTTAAGAAAACCTGCCAACAGTTGGCTGTCAAGTGGAATTCTTATACAGTAATCTGCTACAGTAAACTAGGAGTATATTAGTAGGCACGATCTTGGTTAACTTATATTCTATCTCTGTATAGTATTGAGTGTGAGTGCTTTTCTCTGAATCACTTCTCTCCAAACACTGTAATGCACCTTATCAGATGAGAAAAAATACTGAACACAGACCAATTATATAAATTATGTATACAGTTAACCCTTGAACAATGGGAGGGTAGGTGAGTTAGGGACACGGAACCCCTCCCTTTTGCAGTGGAGAATCCTCCTATAACTTCTGACATTCCCTAAACTTAGTCATAATACTCCCTTGGTATCTCGCAGGAGATTGGTTCCAAGATTCCTCAAATGCCCTCCTGCCCAATGAACACCAAAATCCCCAGAAACTCAAGTCCCTTATATAAAACATTCGTGCACTGGGTGAGGGGGGTCCCTCAGCCAGGCCTGCCCCCTCTCACAGTTTGGGACCACTTGGGGGATGTCTGCCTGCCAGCTTAGGTCCACTCCACGCCATCACTATTGCACTCGCTGCTCCAAGCTTCTGGCTGAGTGGCATAATTAGCATGATACCAATCCAAATTTAATAATCTCTGCAAAATATTGTATTAGCCTTTCTGCCACAAAACCCAAAAAAATATTCCAAGTGTAAGCGAAAACAAATTCCATTGTAAAAATGAACCAAGAGAGAATCATATGACTAAAAACGGGTTAGCTAACCAGAAATTTCCAAACATTCAATTATACAGCTGTTGGCCATCAGGTAAAGCAGCTGAATGGTCTGCAATAAAGTACTGATTAAGTCAGAACCATGAGACTTAAATTATTTCCACGCTTCCATTCCATCTATCAAGCCTACATCCCACCTTTGGGACCAGGGCTTGCTCCCATTTCCTCAATAGAGGCTCAACATAACGGGGTCCAGGAACCTATAGCTGTTCATAAAACTGCTACTTAAGTGTACACCCTGGTTCTGCAGTTCAAGCCTGGTGACAAGAATCAGTCAACAGCAATAGCTGCAGAAAGAGCCTTAGCACCAGTTCCCCCAACTTTTAAAACCATTCTCCTTCACCCTAAGCTCTGACAAGAACAAATCTCTAAATCTTAGAAACAATACTGTTTTAAAAATTAACTTACACACATGGTTATTTACTTTCTAATATTGAGCAGGGAATGTAAGGCCAGGATTTTGCCAGTGACCCCAACTATGCATGAATTCTTAAAGGAATTTTAATAAACTTTAATACTTGATGATAAAATGAAAATGTAATCCCATTTTTATTCCTTCATGAAGGCATAATTTCAAACTAATTTGTATTACACAGATGTGCAATATTCTAAAAAAAAAAAAAATGCTTTTAAAACATGGCTGTTACTATTTAGTATTACCGTGTTTCCCCGAAAATAAGACATCCTCTGAAAATAAGACCTAGCACAACTTTGGAAGAAAAAAATTAATATAAGACACTGTCTTATTTTCGGGGAAACGGTAGTTACATTAAATATCAGACTATTTCGATTTCTTCATGATTTTATATAAACAGGCATTAAAAGATTCATCCTTGCCGAAACCAGTTTGGCTCAGTGGATAGAGCATCGGCCTGCGTATGAAAGGTCCCAAGTTCGATTCTGGTCAAGGGCATGTACCTTGGTTGCGGGCACATCCCCAGTAGGGGGTGTGCAGGAGGCAGCTAGTCAATGTTTCTCTCTCATCGATGTTTCTAGCTCTCTATCCCTCTCTATAAAAAAAATCAATAAAATATATATTCATCCTTGTTAATTGAGAAGATACAGTATGCATGCCCATTTTCAAAATTAAAGTCAGATTTATTCTGACCTAGCTAGTCCTCTAAGGTCTTTCCACCTCTGTAAAGTGTTGTGATTTATAACACACCAAACTGTAGAAAACAGCTTCCAAAATTTATATTGCTTCATACAAATCAGATAGGACTTTCAGGTCGTGAAGCCTACCTACGGTTCTTTGTTAAGTTGCAGAATTCTGACTCTGGAGAGTAACTGACTACAAACTTTACCACGTTAGGTCTTTGTGAAATCTGTTAAGACAGGTTCCTACTCCACCATTTAGTGTAAGTTAGGCTGGCTCAGAAAACAGGACTCAAACGAGATGCAACAGTACTGCTCACATTCCAAATGAGACCAAGCCCTGAAATCAAAAATCTGACTGCTGTAACTGACCAGCATGCCCAGTGAGTGAAGTTGAGCTCAAGCTTCCCCGATCCCTCGGCACTTGGGCACCCCTCCAAGTGTCCCTACCCCGGCGCCCCCCTTCCCCGCCTGGGTACCCTTTCACCGGCGAGATGATGCCCGCGCGCCCCCAGCCCTCCAGCCCGGCGCGGGTGGTACTTCCGGGTGGAACAAAGAGCAACAAAGGAGTGGGTGGCAACCACCTCCCGGAGGGGCAAGCCGGGGCCCATCGGGTCGGATCCGCGGCGCCAACTGGAGCAGCTCTCCACCTTTCCCTACCAACCCTGCAATGTCCCGCGAACACGAGCCCGGCTCGAACTCGAAAGCCCTCATTTCCATGAAGGAAGCGAAACGCTTTCCTTCCATTTGAATACCGCGAAAGTGGCGCTCGGAGAGCCGGCCAGCAAAAGGGAGGGATGGAGCCCACGCAACAGCACCGGCAACCGGCGTGTGTGTGTGTGTGTGTGTGTGTGTGTGTGTGTGTGTGTGTCCCCGGCCTCAGTGACCACCTCGCTGCGCCGGCCCGGGTGCAAGGGTGCGGGGTGAGCTGGAGGCGGAGATAAGGAGCCCAGACCAGCCCGGAGCCTGGGAGGGGACCGGCGGGGACGGGGAGGAGGGAGGGAAGACTGGGGGGGCGGAGAGGCCTGGAGGGGCGGAGCTCCCGCGGCCGCCGGGCTTTGTGTGGAGTCTGGGCCCGGGTAGATGTCTGGACCTGGGGCTAAAGGGGTGGGTGCAGGAGACCCGAGCAGGGCACCCCCAAACCTCCGCTCCCAGATTGGCGGGCGAGAGCGATGCCGGGGAGGGCCGTCCGCTCCGCCGCCGCCGCCGCCACGAAGGGGTGCACGGCCGGAGAGGGTCCGGGGAGAGCGGGGCGTCTCCCGGCGCCCGCCGCAGCGTCCCCCCTGCAGCAGCTCCCGGCAAAGGGGCTCCCCCGCCAGGATCGGGGCCGGAACGGGTTAAGATGCGGACGAGCGTCGATCCCGCCCTCCTCCTCCTCCACCCCACCCCTGAGCACGGGGCCACCCGCCACGGCGGCCCCCCGCCCGGCGCCCCGGCCCTGCCCGCCCACCCTGCCGGCACTCACCATCGTAGTAGTAGCAGACTTTCTTTTTGCCGCCTCCCTGACTGTACGCCATGGGCTCCCCGGCCGCCGCCTCCGGGCTCCTCCTCCTCCTGCTGCTGCTGCTGCTGCCGCCGCCGCCGCCGCCCCGGCTCCGCGGGGAGAGGAAAGGGCTGTGGCTTAAGTGGGGGCGGCCGTCTCGCGGGGCTGGACGGGCCCGAGGGTGCAGAGGAGAGGGCGCCGGAAGGGCTCGGTGCCGCCGGGCGGAGGGGCCGGGAGCGCGGAGCGGAGGAGGTCGCGGCGCCAACTCGCTACACTGGGGAGGAGGGGGAGGGGGCGAACCACCTCCGGAGGCCAAGGGGAGGTGGGAGGAGTCCACTGTGGCTTCCACGGGGAAGGAAGGGGCGCGACTTAGAGAAAAAGGTCCTTCGGTCTTCAAGTACGAGGCCTTCTAACGACGAGCACCTTGAAGAAGGACGGGGTCAATATAGTCTTGGGATTAGAAAAGGAGATCAGGTTTTCGCTTTTCACGTAGATGAAAAGGGGCGTTGAGTGGATGAATGTCCCCCCCTTCAGATCTTCGCACAATGGTTGCGCCTATCTCGAGCATGCGCAGTCGGGGGGCTTCCCTCAACTGTAGCCCGCCGGGCGGCGCAGGCCCCCTCCGCGCAGTCCCCTGCGTCCCCGCCCCCACTGTCGCGAAGCTCCCGCCGGAACCAACCACGTGCCGCCCAGCGCCGGCCGGGGCGGGACCGCTTGGGCACGCCTTCCGGCACCCACCTCCCCGCCCGTCTGCAACCCGCCCGGGGCCCTTCTGTGCCAGGGCGCGCGGGCGAGTTTCTCATTTTTTCGTTTCTTTTTAGAATCTTCTTTCCCTTTTCGCCAGTACTTGCCCCGCGGTTCTGAGGTTCCGTGTGAGTGACATCACAGACGTGGAGGAGGAGTGTGCCGCCTGGGTTTGAATGAGCACTTGTGGGACCCATGTGTGCAGTCAGGCACGGGCCCAAGTACTTGCTTTTCTAATGTGTTTCACGGACACCTATTATAGTTTTATACTAGATAGCCTGTGATCTCACGTGAGACTCCCAACAACTCTGAGACGTTTGCTTTCGATCCCTCCTTGGGATTGAGGAACGTGGTCCTCTCCACCGTTGGTGGTCTGGGGTTTGAAATCAGTCTTTCTCCAAAATCCGCACACCCTGTGTTAATGTACTGAGCCTGAGCCGCCGCCGCTGCCTGGACCCTGCCAGACCAGAGCAGAAAGCTAAGAGAAAGGATGTCAAGCTCATGGAAGGTATGAGTGAATACCTGTGTTCAAGTCAACGTTTATCAAGCACCACATTACGCCAACCACCTTGTAGGTAAGGGGTGGGCGGCTGGCAGTGTAGCAGTCTTATCCCAACTCTATCATTCACGGTTTTCTCCAAATACATGTTAATAGTATAACCCTCCCCCTCCCCCCCCCCACACACACCCAATTACAAAGAAAAAAGAAGCCCTGTTGAAGCAGGAACCATTTGGAGTCATTTGGATATAAAAATATTCCCTTTATTTTGATATTTGACTTCAAAATCCCTAAGGTGGTCATACTTAAAAGAGCAATTCCCTCCCACCTCCCCCAAAGAAATTTAGGAAAAGTAAATCCAGGATAACCCTTTACTCCCCTTCCTCCAAGTCTGTATTTTTAACAAGCACCTCAGGTAACTGATGCAGTTGGTATAGAAGCGACAGTGTGAAAAACATTGGCTTAGAGATAAGAATTAATTACGTGGTATTGACTTTTTAAAATTTATTTTTAGCAATATAGAACATTTTTAAAAAATCAAACAGTATTTCAGACCAGACCCTGCCCCAACCTTCTACACAATCAATTTCTACTCCGAAGATACTTATCTTTTAGCTCTCCTGAGATTTATCTTCATAGTTCTTAGTAACATCCTTATACAGTACTATTCTTTTTGTGTGTGTGTAATTTTTTATTTATTTATTTTTTGCATCTGGGAGTTCTTGATTTTTTTACAGTTTGGTCTATTGTGTTTCTGCTTCCTATAAAAAATCAACTATATATTTATACTCTAATACCCTCTCATAAACATATTATATTTTTATCTTTCATCCCTCAATATATCAATATCACCTTATATAAATCATAATTCATTATATTATGACTGTGTACCAATTATTCATAATTGGTAAACCAACAATAATAATAAATTTCCTTTTTTATTGAAGTTAGCCATTGCCTTCTTTTCTATTTTTAAAAAATATATGTATTTTATTGATTTTTTTACAGAGAGGAAGGGAGAGGAATATAGAGTTAGAAACATTGATGGGAAAGAAACTGGGGATGTGCCTGCAATCAAGGTACATGCCCTTAACCTGAATCAAACCTGGGACCTTTCAGTTTGCAGGCCGATGCTCTATCCCCTGAGCCAAACCGGTTAGAGCACCGTTGCCTCCTTTTCTATGCTTCCCCCCCCCCTCTATCCAGTCCAAAATCAACTTGGTATATTCTGAAAATAGAATTAAGTTAATTTAGTAGAAACTGATGTTCTTCTCAGAGTCAACATAATGAACTCTGAAAATGAGCCTTCAGGAAACTGCCCTGCTTCTACCCTCTCCTCCCCTCAAGTCTGTTTTCTGTGTCTCTTATATGGTGGTTGTACCCCTTGAGCTCAACACTTGCCCAGTTACAGTTGACCACAGCTTCTCCTTAGAATAGAGTTTCAGAAGAGGAGGGACCAAGTCTGTCCTGCACATGAGTGTATCTAGTGCCTATGACTGGGGACAAGTCACTTAAACTTTTTTTTTTTAAATATATTTTATTGATTTTGTACAGAGAGGAAGGGAGAGAGATAGAAACATCAATGAGAGAGAGTCATTGATCAGCTGCCTCTTGCACACCCCCTACTGGGGATATGCCCGCTACCAAGGTACATGCCTTGACCAGAATCGAACCTGGGACCCTTCAGTCCCCAAGCCGACGCTCTATCCATTGAGCCAAACCGGTCTCAGCATCACTTAAACTTTTTAAAATCTGATTTGCCTTATCTGTAAAATGGAGTCATATTTCATAAACAATAAGTTCTCATGAATATTGAATAACTCAAATAGGAAAAGTATGAAATAGTTTTTAAGCAATAAAGAATTATGTGAATATGTTATTATGATGAATCTGTTATAATAACAATTATTAGTATTCTTATTGTTTTCATCCACAGCACTTAGCCTGGAACTTGTGAGAACAACTTGGACACATTTTGATTGGTTGAGGAACTTGTTATTTTGTTTATTATTTAACACTTGTAAATCAACGGAAACAAATTACCCTTTGAAACTGGCTTTGGAGGAGTTAAGTCCAGTGATAAGAAGAGGCCAAGAGAATTATGTACCTAAATATCTATAATGAGCTTTAGATAATCAAAGGTAGAGATAGAATCAGTAACTGAAACCGATTGACTAGCTCCATGCTTCACTTATTGTTTTCAAACTTGTCTCTATCAAACCATTAGAAAAAAAAAGGAAGTTTTAGATAATAATATTGAAGAAAGCAAGTTGAGAGCATGGTTCATTCATATAGAATGCTTAATTGAGGATTGTCTTTATTCTTGAACTATTTTTCTTTAGTTCCTGCTCTGTCTAGATGAACTTATTTTTCCAGTTCTGGAATTATTCAGTTAAATGATCTGTTAAACATAAATGGATTATTTAGAAATAGGACTCTAGTCACGCACCACTTAACAATGAGGATATGTTCTGAGAAATGTGACATTAGGCAATTTCATGGTTATGAGAACATTATAGAAGGCACATACACAAAAGTAGATAGTGTTCTACACACCTAGGCTAGCTATATGGTGTAGCCTATTGCTCCATGCATGTATAGCATGTGACTGTATAAAACAACACAAGTAAAGCACAAGAGACAGAGACGCAGTAAACATGAGATGTAAGAAGCTGTTGCCAGTGTAACATGTATACTGTTTTCTAGCAATACTTTTTCACAAGTAGGAAGAGTACACGTTAAGGCTTAAAAGTATACTGTAGTAAATACATTAATCAGTAACATAGTTATATGTTATCATATATATCATGACTGTATATAATTTATGTGTTATACTTTTATATGATTGGCACAAAATAGTTTTTTTTTTTTTACACCAGCATCACCACAAACATGTGAGTAATGCATTGTACTATGATGTCACTAGGTGATAGGAATTTGTCAGCTCCATTCAACCAACGATATGCTTTTATTGATTTGAGAGAGAGGAAAGGGGAGAAAGAAACATCGATGTGAGAGAGAAACAGCCATCAGTTGCCACCATATACACCTCAACCAGGGATTGAACCCGTAACCTCGGTATGTGTCCTGACTAGGAATCAAACCTGTAACCTTTTTGATGTACGGGATGACACTTCAATCAACTGAGCCCCCTAGCCAGGGCAGCTCCATTATAATCTTAAGGGACCCCTGTAGTATATGTGGGTCCATTGTTGACCAAAATGTTATGTGGTACATAGCTCTTTAGAAACGAGTTGTATTAGCTTATGTAAAAATTAAGCCTTGCTACCAACTGCTACAGATAGTTTAATTTTTAGTTGTTATAAAGAATTATGTAAGCTTGCTTCTACTCTAAAGAAATTGAAATTTCTTAGTGTTAAATTCTACATAGCAGTTATACAACATAATACAGAAATGAATACAGAAGGTAATACAGAAGCATAGTGACTAGATTATATGGTCAACTGGGACTTAAGTGACCTTCCTCTTTACTGCCTGTTAATGAGGAAGAATTGGGAAGGTATTTGCAGGCTAAATACCAGAGAGTAGGTTTAATGATAGACACCAGAACAGTGTACTGGTGGTTGTAATTTTCCTCCAAGTGGCAAGACTTCTTCACCATGGTGGAGGTGCTGTCAACCTGTGCTCCCAGACTTAGGTCAGTCCCACTGGGAAGCCCTAACAATTGTGATCAACACTTTCTTTCTAGAGACATCCTATTCACTCCCATGCCTGTACTTCTTGTGTGGAAGCCAGGCATTGATTTCTCCACTTCCAAGATCACACACACC